TTTCAAAGCTACCAACACTGCATGGGTTTTTGACTTAAGACCAACTGTGGCTGAACCTTGTTTAACAGCTTCCATTGCATATTCAATTTGATGAATCCTGCCCTAAAGAGAAAAAACAACAAATCTTAGAGTCATCTTAGAAGACCCTTTTATAAATTAAAAATTAGAGTTCCCAATCTTAGGTGAGTATAGTCAAATCTCAAATATTTTTTAAAACCAGGAAACCTTTTTAAAATAAGTTTTATTGTGTCTATTTAAGGTATACAACATGATGTTTTAAGAAAGACAGAGAGAGATAGTAAAATGGTCACTATAATGGAAGAAGTAAACATATCTATCACTTCACATAGTTACCCATTTTTCCCCTCTGTGGCAAGAGCAGCTATAATCTCATTTAGCAAAAATTCTGAATACAATATACTACCTATATTATTAACTAAATTACTCATCCTGTACATTAGATCTTTCTACTTGTTCATCCCACATATTTGCTACTTTGTATCCTTTGACCTGTATCTCCTCATTTCCTCCTCTCCCCTGCCCTATAGTGGTTACCTATTAGGTAACCACTATTTTAGTCTCTACATTTTTGACCTTTGTTTTATATAAATTCCATATATAAGTGAGAGCAGGCAATATTTTTCTTTCTGTTTCTGGTTTATTTCACTTAGTCTAATGTCCTCTAGGTCCACTAGAAAACTCATTTTAATTACAAGTTTAATTTCCAGGAATGTCTAAAATAATTGTATTCTCTTTTCTTCCAGCCTATGATCTCATGAATTTCTAAACATACTGCAGCCACAAAAAGCCACTTCATAAAAATGATATAAAACATTATTTTACCTGAGGGCTCCAAACAGTAACATCATTGTCATATTGGTTGCGAAACTGAAAGTAAAAGAAAAAAGACCTATTAATATAAAAACATTACAAATCCCAACTCTTACTATTTATTAAGAAATGTGCTATTACCTTACCTCTATCAGAATGGCCATTACTAAAAAATAAAAAACAATAGATGTTGGCATGGATGCAGTGAAAAAGGAATGCTTATACACTGTTGGTGGGACTGTAAATTAGTATAGCCTCTAAGGAAAACAGTATGGAGATTGCTCAAAGAATTAAAAGTAAACCTACCATTCGATCCAGCAATCCCACTATTGGGTATCTACCCAGAGGAAAAGAAGTCATTAAATTATCAAAAAGACAACTGCACTTGAATGTTTATTGTACCACAATTCAAAATTACAAAGATATGGAATCAACCTAAGTGCTCATCAACTGATGAGTGAATAATGTGGTATATATACACCATGGAGTACTACTCAGCCATAAAAAGAAACAAAATAATATCTTTTGTAGCAACTTGGATGGAACTGGAGACCATTATCCTAAGTATCTCAGGAATGGAAAAACAAATACCACATGTTCTACTAAGAGTACACACGACCATGAAGTGGTGTAATGGGCATTGAAAACTAACAGTGGAGGAGCGGGGAGGAGGACGAAGAATAAAAATCTACCTATTGGGTACGATGTACACTATTCTGGCAATGGGCATACTAAAAGCCCTGACTTCAGCATTATATAATTCATCCATGTAACAAAAACACTTGTATCCCTTTAATATTTTATGGGCGAAAAAAAAGAAATATGCTTACATGTGTTTCTATTCAATGTTCAAACAATACTGTTAATGCAATCTCACTATAAGATTACTACTGTACTCAGTTGTCAATTCTACATTTACCATTAGCTGGTGGGGAGGAAGAAGCAGATTTAAATGGGTCCTATCTTTCCAACTTCCTATTTTGCTACCCTCCATAGCACCTCCTTTGGGCTCAGTCAACTCAAGTTCATAATCAAGTTTCCTTCCTATTTTCTTATGCTGTTCTCTTATACCAGGCCCTAATGAAAGGTCAAAAGCTGTAATCCTAGCACTCTGGAAGGCCGAGGCGGGTGGATCGCTCAAGGTCAGGAGTTCAAGACCAGCCTGAACAAGAGCGAGATCCTGTCTCTACTAAAAAATAGAAAGAAATGATCTGGATGACTAAAAATATATATATATATATAAAATTAGCCGGGCATGGTGGCGCATGCCTGTAGTCCCAGCTACTTGGGAGGCTGAGGCAGGAGGATTGCTTGAGCCCAGGAGTTGGAGGTTGCTGTGAGCTAGGCTGAC